CACAATGGACGAGATAAATGTTTGCCTTTTTAGAAAAATTGGATTTCCTCGGGAACTAAGATGCTATTACGGCTGATAGGAATTTTATACATTTATTGAGCTAGGGCCGGATATTTCACAGACGGATTATCAGAGCAATAGGAGCTACTCAATATCAGAAAATCTACTTCATTTAGGTTACAAAATTGCCTGGAAAAGATAATCTATTTTTCTAAGAAAATCCTTAAATCCCGTCTTGCTTCTGATCCCGGTAACAACAAAGAAGTTTAATGATAAGAGTTCTATATACAGGGTTGAGTCATTAATTTTCAGATAATGATTGTAGAAGGAAGATAAACCAAAATATGTATACGTATGTAAAAAAAAATAAAAAAAAATGTTTACCTTGTTTTATAAAGTATCCTCCCGACAAGTATTTCAGTGCGGACCTGTATTTGATCGTGAGGTCTTGGAGCACCGGCATGCCGTCCCCTGTGAGGTCTCAAGTCACCTGATTCACGAGCCCGTTGTACTACATTAACAAAGGCACGAGGGGTTGGTTGCACTCGATTGGGAAACCGATCCGCATAAACATGTGCCATTTTTGATTTCGTTTGAGCCACGCAACAGACACCACTATTCACTCACGCGTTACCGACTGACACTGACTGTATACAACCGAATAAAATAATTGTAAAAACATCGTACCAAATTCTTTCGCTTTTTTGTTTCCGATGCGATGAACCGATAAGGCGGATTATATCCGTTGTTGCCAAACACGAGCACATAATATTATTATTGAGACAGGGCGGTACTCAAACTTCCAAAGGGCTATAACTTTGTTACTTTAATTTTACCAGAAAAATGGTAAAGGAAAAAACATTTCTTTTGATCAGATCTACTCACTGTTAAAATAAATGACTCAACTTCGAAGTCACCCTATATAATCAGTGAGATTAGACGTGTTATACCCAGAAAAAATTATTTCTTCTACTTGGTTTTTTGACAATGAGATAGTCTTACATCAAGAATGAAACGATAACCTTCTCACGAAATTTGATTGACAATAAAAAAATTAATAATGTGTTGGGCGACCCCGCAGCTGAATACACTCCTGTACACGTCTAGGCATCGACAAAATGAGATGATCTATGTCTGGTTGTGGCACCTCGCTGCAAGCGAGTCGAACTTCGTGTTTTAGCTGCGGCAGAGCCTGTGGAGGATGGTGCAAAATGGATAGTATCCTCCCCATCATATGCCACACGTGTTCGATGGGATTTAAATCGTGTGAACGGGGTGGCCACGGCACGTACTTTGCACACGCTTATGCTTAAATCGCGCATTTGATTTTGTAGAGAGAGACAAAAGCAAGCGCGTGCGGCTTGTGTCGAAGTAGTGCACAGACCCTTTTCAAGTGGCCCACGAATAATGTTACGATGCGGTCGCGACGAAAATGACGAGTACGCAATTGGTCGATTATAATGCTGCAAAACAGACTGGACGCGGTGTCTTGCGGGGGCAGGCCGGTATTGTTTCTATTTGTGTGATAACATGGAAAATAAATAATGATCAAACTACTACTGCTTTTTCTGTTAAGACAAAAGTTTTGGCAGTTCTGCGGCTCTGCAGAACTTAAGGGCCAGCCGCCCCTGCTTGTCACCTTCCAGCCATGTGGTATGTGATTCCACGCTAGGCTTTCTCGCTCCTTTAACTGCATCAAATGTTACTATGGTTCTGGCAACCTGCTAGTCTCCCCTGTGGGATCGTTTAACCGTCCGATTCTCCGGGAATTGGCCAGCTAAGTCACCAGATGTTATACTTCCTGGAAAGTGGTTATTCGCAATGTTTCTCCCCAGGACTGTGAGGATGTCGCTTGATCGACCCCAGCTCCTTTCCACAATCCTGGTCGTCGTTGTCACATCGCTACAGGGGAACGTTTAATATGTTATAGCAATATTAGGAGTAAATACCACTTTAGACTTCTGCGATGCTTTTTGCAAATGATGACTGGACTATTTTCACACTAACCTTCGAATTGTATTTCTCCGTCTATGATGACACCGACATACATGAGAAACAACAACAGAAACCTTGTAAATTGAAGTTTGGATATTATCGTGAGATTATTATTTTCATGGGTCAGGTAGTCGTAGAGTTTGAAAATTGATTCAGATGCGGTGAAGCTACGGACAAGAAAATAAAATCGTTGGGACATTGCTACAACGTTTGTAAAAGTTTGTTAGTTGTTATTATGTATATATATTTATATATACAAAGCTTCCGCCTTTTGTTGGGTGCTTCGACAAAATTCAAGTAAAGAGGACTCTTTATACATTACTAATCTGTAGCTTTCAATGGACTTCGCCATCTTCATCAGGAGCTACAATAACATTGAGAAGAAGTAGCAACTATTGCGCAAAATGATTTTAAATTAACTTGCAGTGATATGTGAGGTTGTTGCTAAATGTTATTAACGTTTTGGTTGAGGGATACACCCAGTAACCTGGTGAATGCTGGATACATGGTACAACAGGGCACTCTACGAACTACACGAGTATCAAAGTTCTTGATAAAGAAAAACACCTATCCAAACGTTTATTCCTGGAAATGTCCCACATTTTCATGAATGAAAACTGTATGAATAAGAGAATATGTATGTATATGTAATAATTGTTTCCAGCTCCAGACGATGAAGACATAGATCTTCGAAAGCTTGAGAGTTTAAGTTATAAGAGCGTACTTTTGCGATACCTTGCCTTCTACCCAAAGAAATTAAAGGCTATCTTCTAACAGTTAAGGCAATTAACTATGAATACTATATATTATATATATATATATACAGGGTGTCCGCAAAGTTGGGGTTTTCCTTTACACGACGTGTAGATCTTGAAAACATAAGCAATTTTTCTTAGTACCATATACACCGATGTCTTAAGGGAACCGAGATAAAGGGCTCTGCAACATCAAAAATATCTGAATACCGTCCTGCAGCCGCGACCCACGATATCACCGAGTGGTACAAGGTCACTGGCTCAACCCGACGACAGAACTGGGTCGGGGTCAGTGTGTCAGATCAGTATGCAACCTTCAACCGACGGCTACGGTCACGCGTAATGGGGTGAATAACTTTCGCAACACTCATGTTTGGTCAGTAGAAAATCCGCACGCTGTCCGTCGGGCACATTTTCAACAAACATTTTCGGTGAATGTTTGAGCTGGCATGGTGAACGGTATGCTCATTGGACCATTTATTCTCCCAAATCGATTGGACGGGATGCAATACCTAGACTTTTTACGCAACATTTTGCCTTCCTTGTTTGAATGCGTCTGCTCGGTAGCGCATCAGCTGATTTCATTTTCTGTTGGAGCGGTATGATTTCGGGCAGAGACGTACTTAGCCCTTCTTGTCAACTGGAGAGTGAGTACTTTTTCCTTTTTCTTTACTTGTTCGCCCTCGTTTCATTACACATTACCTTTGTTATTTCAAGGGTAGTTGTTTCTGAAAAGGAAACCCCAACTTTGCGGACACCCTGTATCAGTTTATCCTGAAAGCGATAGGATGAACTAGTTCATCCTGAAATAAATTAATTATGATTAGGAAAAACTAATTTGTTCTAGTATAAACTGCTGGCGGATTTCTGAAATAAATTTGATATATCTGCGTACAAAAATTGTTATTGGAAGAAGTGGACGGAAACATTGAACGTTTGTTAAGAACCGCAGCATTCAAGCATTCAGTTGGAACAGGCCAAAGTTTCTTTAAGTGCTATTGCACCAAGAAGTGTACGTCAAATCGATGCCTTTGCAAGAAAAATAACGTTCTCTGCAACTCGAAATGCCGCAATAATTTGACACGTAATAACAAGTAAATAATAAACGTTATTAAACATGTTTGTAATAGTAGCATTTTAGTATTTTCTTCGATTAGTAATAAGAACATTACTTTTGTGAAGAGACTGGATGCAGACTAGGACAAATCAATTTTGCCCAATCACGCTTAATTGATTTTAGGACAAATTAGTTTAGACTAAGATAAACTAGTTCATCCTATCGGTCTTCGGATACACTGATTTGACCTACGAAAAACTAGTTTATCCTAATATCGGGTTGGTCCGGTAACATATATATACAGGGTGACTTTGAAGTTGAGTCATTAATTTTCAGATAATGATTGTAGAAGGTAGATAAACCAAACTACGTGTGTAAAAATAAAAAAAAATAAAAAAAAAATTTACCTTGTTTTATAAAGTATCCTCCCGACAAGTATTTCAGTGCGGACCTGTATTTGATCGTGAGGTCCCCTGTGAGGTCTTAAGTCACCTGATTCACGAGCCCGTTGTACTACATTAACAAAGGCACGAGGGGTTGGTTGCACTCGATTGGGAAACCGATCCGCATAAACATGTGCCATTTTTTATTTCGTTTGAGCCACGCAACAGACACTATTCACACGCGTTACCGACTGACCAGAGATAAACCCTTCGACTGACACTGACTGTATGTATAACTGAACTGAATAAAATAATTGTAAAAACATCGTTCCAAATTCTTTCGCTTTTTTGTTTCCGATGCGATGAACCGATAAGGCGGATTATATCCGTTGTCGCCAAATACGAGCACATGATATTATTATTGAGACAGGGCGGTACTCAAACTTCCAAAGGGCTATAACTTTGTTACTTTAATTTTACCAGAAAAATGGTAAAGGAAAAAAACATTCCTTTTGATCAGATCTACTCACTGTTAAAATAAATGACTCAACTTCGAAGTCACCCTGTATATATCTTTGTTGAGAGTGAAAGACCTTCTATACACCGGTTAGATTTATTGTGCCTGACCACGATTCGACTTCGGCTTTTGCAATGAATTGGCTCTTCCCTTTTTTAAAAACCTTCAACGAAGGCTTAGGCAGTATGGAATCAATTTACCATTTTTTTATTTACACGCGGTGTTATGTCATGCACACAATTAATAAAATTACCGCAAAGTTACCACACGGTTTACAATAATTTACATTCATTCTCATGTTAATGAGATCGTTACTCTATAGTTGTATGTGTGTGTGTGTGAAAACCAAGAACACAAAACCCAGATTTAACTTATTCCATATTATGTTGTACGGCATCCTGGGGTCATTGCGAGGAATTCCCCATCATTAGGAAAATCGCGCTTGCTACTGGTTCAGATAAAAACGAATTCAAGTAGAACCGTCAGTCAGTTCCCAGCGTTGTTTCGAAATTCGTAGGAGAGGTTGTAACATCGCGGTATCAACTTGCCACTAGCCAGCGGATCGTTAGTTGATCAACGCGTTCAGTTCGATAAGTTTATCAGTAATGGTGAGTCTCAACTTTATTTTTGCGTGGGTCATTGTCCAAATATTAAACAGACGAAACAAAATCACCAACGCTCAACCCAATAGTTGGCAGGATTTGAGATTCGTGATGCTTTATTGGAAGCAAAGTTTCGAACGATATATCTCATAGGGCATAATTAACACTTACGTATGTTTAATAGTATTCAAGAACTTTTTACATATCGATTTATATTGCCATGAACAAGTGATAAAACGGTCAGGTTTTCCTGTTAAGCTTGTGGTGACTGCTTGTATTGTTTGGAGAGAAGCATTCACTCTTACTCACGAAGCTACATTAGCCTGGAATGAGATACCCAACAGGATATCGACCACCTTATCAATAAGTTTATAAGAAACCAACACATTATTGAACCAGCTTCTCTACAGTTAGAGCTTGGTGGTCTGTAAATAATGCCACTTATGAGTATTTCTTTTTCAAGCTGAATTTTAACCGAAATATGCTCAATTATGTCCTTGCACTCACTCTTCAATATATTAAATTTTACGTTAGATTTTAGATATATTCCAACAACACTCTTGCTCGACAAATTTGTAACCATTTAAGGAAGTAGTATCACTGTCAATATTAGAAGTAAACCAGCTCTCTGTAATGCCAACTATATGATAACACTGATCAACAGCCTAAATAAAATCAACAAAATATTACTATTTTTAATGTGCTAAAACCGGAATGAAACTTATTTTTTCAATATTAGTTCAAGTTTTAGAGATACGGTAATTATATGTGTTCCTGCTGTGACAGTGTTAATATATTGTAATTCACAAGAATGCACGTGCTACATTTTTATATTCGGCAAGGAAAGATGACGTAATCGGCATGATTGTGTTACGTTATACATACGTGTACATTATATTGTTTTATATTAGCCATTTTTTCCTCAGTTGGCTGACAGCGTTCATGCAAGATGTCTCGAAAGTGTGTAAACAATCCAGATCAGTTTTGTTACGTGTGTGGTGATGTGACTTTTGCGTCTCAGAGACGGTATATTACTCCACTAATAACAAAGGCATATCAGCTTTATTTCGGTTGTAAACTAGGTGATCAAGACAAACAGTGGGCACCCCACAACTGCTGTAATACATGTGCTTCAAGTCTGAGGAGCTGGTTAAATGGCAAAAAACGGTCTATGCGCTTTGCTGTCCCAATGGTTTGGAGAGAGCCTACAAATCATATTAATGATTGTTACTTTTGCATGGTACCTTGTGTTGGACAAGCCACAGGTATGTCCAAGAAAAAAAAATCGGTTATTAACTACCCAAACATACCATAAGCGATGAGACCTGTGCCTCACAGTGACGAAGATCCTATTCCAAAACCCCCAGAATCCTACACTTGCGAATCAGAAAACGAATCAGATCATGGCGATCGAGTGATTCGTCAGGAAGAAGATATGCCATCAACGTCAAGAGATCCTGATTTTATACCGAGCACATCATGCTACCAACCGCACAAAATAACACAGTCAGAATTAAATGATCTTGTAAAAGATTTAGAACTTCCAAAATGTAAGGCAGAGTTACTTGGATCAAGACTGCAGCAGTGGAACTTGTTAGAAGACGATGTTTCGATATGTGTTTTTCGTAAACGCCACAAAGACTTAGAACCATTTTTCAATATGGAGAATAACTTGGTTTTCTGCAGTAACATTAACGGCTTACTGGCGGCTTTAAATATAAACTATAACCCAGAAGAATGGAGATTGTTTATAGACAGTTCAACATTGAGTTTAAAGGCATATTGGAAATATTTTACCATCTCTTCCTGTAGGGTATGCAGTTCACATGAAAGAATCATATGACAATATGAAGTACCTATTGACATGCATAAAATACGATGAGCACCAATGACATATTTGTGGCGATTTGAAAGTTGTTGCACTTTTACTTGGGCTGCAGCTAGGCTACACAAATTTTTGCTGTTTTTTGTGTGAATGGGACAGTCGCGCAAAGGTTAAAGAAGGTATTTTTGTTGGGCCACAGATTCGAAATATTTTGGAAGATACACAGTTTGAAAACACTTTAACAGGTATTGAAAAAACTGCTTGGAATGATTTCCGTCTGGTGGTCACTAATTTCTTGGGCAATAGAAAAGCTGACAACTATAAAACCCTTGTTAAAAATATGCTGTCATCATATCAAAAGATGGGCTGTAATATGTCTCTTAAGATACATTTCCTACACTCACACCTGGACTTTTTTCCTGACAATTGCGGAGCCGTAAGTGATGAGCACGGCGAACGTTTTCATCAGGATATTTCAACAATGGAAAAAAGGTACCAGGGAAAGTGGAATCCTTCCATGCTTGCAGACTACTGTTGGATTCTTGGTAGAGATGCTCCAGAAACAATCCATAAACGAACAGCAAAAAGACAGCGCATATAGTGATTCTTATAAGTATATGAATCTGGTTACTTTTTTTAATATATCCTTAAAAATAAAAAGTTTTTTTTCTAAACCGCAACTAATTTTTTTATTTCATTGTCATTTTTGGATTCAGCGCCCCAAAATTAACAAAGAAGTGCACTTTTCCCACAAGATACAATTAAAAAACTAAAATTTGTTGTCCAGTGATAATTACTGTCAAAAACATCCTCTTTAAAACTGCCGAAATTATTTATTTGAGATCTGACATTAATATGTGCACAGCGCATAGAAGGAGTGGTAGAAAGAAAGAAAAACAAAAAGAGGTAGATAGTATAGAAATTAATATAGGTAGACAAATATCTGAAATACTTAGTACACAAAAAAACTAAATAAATAATGTTTGTACCTGCAGCCGTGCAAAACAAGCTTCTTTTTTATATAGCTATAGCAGTGATCTCCACGTCGTCGATCGCGAGCTACCAGTAGCTCGTAAAGGCAATTCTGGTGGCTCACAACACATTTTAAAAAAGTGTAAAAATCATAGAAACTTCCGTAAATTTTGTAAATTCATATAATAAACACAAGCAGCGGCAACCCTGCGGTAAGCGATCTGTTCGAGAACGATCTCGATTACTTTGAAGGCGCGGCGACAGTGCGCTCAGTTTGAAACTAAGCGACACAAAGTCCAGCGGTTGGTTCATAGTTGGCCTACAATAAAAACATTATGAGCCGTAGTAAGAAGATGAAGACATACAATGATTTAGCTTTAAAATCTCAAATTTAGCTATAGCTTCGAAGACAACCAATAATATTGATTGTTCAGTTCCTCTTTTTTGTATCAGGTGCTACCCAAAATAAAACGTCAAGTAGATTGACTATACTTCTTAGACTTGCGCCTTATTTACCGATTTTAATACAATTTGAAATTTAAAAATTAATAGTTTGTTCAAAACAATCAAATGGCATTGAAACTTGATTAAACACTCTCGCGGAATTGAATTACAAGCCTATACATTCCAGACTATAAAAAATGAATCATATTTCTGTTTTAATAACAAAGATATGGAAGTAATTGCATGACTGTTAGGTATGACTCACAGTTTCTCAGTGCTGCGGGAATCAGAAGCTTTTACGTTTCGCGTATACTGGTGACGAAGTACATACTGTAATCATGAAAATTTTTGAAGAGACCTTTTTTAAATCCCTGTCTTTTAGAGCCACAGCTTACTAATAAAAAGAAATTCCAGACGAATCAGCTTGAAAAATAAAAAATCAAGGGACTTCCGTATAAAACTTTCTTGGCCTAAGTTTTAGGTTAGGATCAAAATATCGAGATGCAATTTTCGCGAACTTTTGTCTTCACAGAATATTCAATTGACGTACTTAATTTTACATTTCCACCCAGGTAGAAAATGCATCATGACATACCTAGTCGTGTATTACATCGCACAGACAGTTCCTTTTTTCGTGAATAACACCATTTTATAAATTCAACAAAATAATTGATTTCGATATATAATTACCCAATTTCCCCAAAACATCTCCAATTTCCTCCGATTACGCTACAAAAGAACCAAAACAAAAGCGAACCGTGTTTTCGTTTATTTTTAACAATCCGATTCAAAATCAGTCACGCCGGTCGACGTATCGCGTCTCCAAAATCAACGTAATCGTTAATTGCTTCTCAAGCCAGTCCAAAATTTAACAAGGATTTCCTCTTCAAGATGAATGCTGCCTTCGCGTTGTTTACAAACAACTACTCGGTTGGTGATAAACTCGCTTAACCTGGCATGGTAATTATATCAAAGTTGACCGTGAAAACTCAGATAAGCTGGATGACGGGCAATCACCAAGAAACAGGTCGTAGAGGCAACGGTACAGCGTTGCCAGATTTCGATGATGTTATCACACCTTAAACTTCATACTGCCTGTCGCTAATCAAGCCGGGGCACTCCAGCAGATCCCAAAATTCATTGGCTTTAATTTTAACAAACACAAAATAATATACTAAGTGACATATAAATCCGAACACCCAGTTTAAATGGTTTTATTTTAATAAAATTTTGTATAAGTACTTAATGAAGCATAATAAGTAAATGATAAAAATTTCAAAATGATTGCACTGCTTTAAAGCCCTTTGACCTTTAATAATGTGTGGATGCACCCTGATGTGCTACGCATTCTCCAACGCGCCTAGGCATGCTTCTGATCAGGTGGTCAATGTCCTCCTGTGGTATCTCATTCCAGGCAACCACCAACTCCTCTCGAAGTGCTTCTAGTGTCTGAGGAGGACGTTACAAATTGAGCAATCTCCTACCCATCATATCCCACACGTGCTCAATTGGGGATAAGTCGGGAGATATTGGTGGGCATGGTAACAATGTGACATCATTATGTTGAAAGAAGTCTATTGTGACTCTTGCAACATTTGGTCGGGCATTGTCTTGTTGGAAAGTTGGATCTGCCAGGGTGTGAAGATAGGGCAAAAGATGGGGTTCTAGAACTTCGTGGATATAACGGTGCGCGTTCATGTTACCTCTGATGAAGATTAAAGGTGACCTTGAACCATAAGCTATAGCACCCCAAACCATAACTCCA